ACAATCCATACATACATCAATTGTGTCAAGCACATTTGTACATTCATTACCCTCATCATTCTCAAACCATTTGCCCTCCACTTAAGCCCCTGGCATCAGCTCCTCATTTTCCCCCTTCACTCCCTGCTACCCCCTCCCTCATGGACACTTGATAATTTATAAATTTATTATTTTGTCATATCTTAAAACTGTCCAATGGAGATTATACTTTTATCTCATTTGGTTCCATTGTAATATCATCCATTTTATTTCTTATTCATAGAATGTTTTTTCTCAATTTCCTTCATTAACTTTTGAGTGGTTTATCAATTTTGCTAATCTTTTTAAAGAACCAACTTCTTGTCTTAGTGATTTTTTTCAATTTTTAAAAAATTTTCTGCTTTATTTTTTTCTGTCCTAATCTTTCTTATTTCTTTTCTTCTTGTTTTGATGGACTTTTTCCAATTGCAGTTAATTTGTTTGCTTATTTATTTTAATTCTTTCTACCTTACTCACGTGTGTGGTTATTGCTATAAATAGCCCTCTGAGTACTGTTTTTGCCATGTCCCAAAGCTTCTGATATGCCGTGGTTTTGCTTTCATTTGTTTCAGGAATATTTTGACTGTGTTCTTTATTTCTTCAATTACCCCGGTGGTCCTTAACTAAAGTGGTGTTTAATTTCCATGTATTTGTGTTTTTGATTTATGGTTGATTTCTAATGTTACAGCATTATGATCTGAAGAGATGATTTGTATTGATACTTGATTTATGACCTAAAATGTGATCTATTCTGGAATAGTTATTGAGGGTACCAGAGAAGAAAGTTATATGGATTTTTGTTGAGTGAAGTATTTTATAGATAGATAGATAGATAGATAGATGATTGAGTTGTTACATAGTTTTTTTGTATCTTTGATTTTTTTTCTAGTTGAACAATCTTTAGTTGAAAGTGCTGTATTAATATCTCATAGTATTATCATTTTATTTTTTATTTGACTCATTTCTATAAGAACTTGATTAATGTATTTTGATGGTCTTTCATTTGCTGTGTATATATTAATTAATTACAGTTATGGCTTCTTGTTCAATTAAAGCTTTCATAATTATACAGTGATCTTTGTCTCTCATTATGTCATTAACTATGATGTCTATTTTGTCTGAGATAAATATTGCTTTCTTTTGACTGTTGTTAGCTTGATATATTTTTTCCATACTTCAATTTTTAGTCTGTTTATCTTTATATTCCAGGTGTGCTTCTTATAAGCAGCATATTAAAGTTCCATGCTTTTTATCCATTTTGCTGGTCTTTGTCTTTTAGCTAGTGAATTCAGTCCCATTACACTCAGTGTTACTAGTGACAACTACGGTTATTATTGATAAATTGATAACTATGTAAGACATGACAATAATAACAATAATTTATAAATTATCAAGGGTTAGTGAGGGGGGAAGGGAGGGAGCAGAAAAATGAGCTGAAATCAAGGCTCAAGTAGAAACAAAAGTTTTGAGGATGATGATAGCAATAAATGTACAAATATGCTTGACACAATGGATGGATGTGATAAGAATTGTACGAGCCCCAATAAAATGATTTTTTAAAATATGGTTTGGTTGATGTCATTTTGTTACATATTTTTTTAATGTTACTGGTTTCAGTTTTCATGATGATATTTTGTGTTGTGTTCATTTTCGGGGTTGTCTTCTTGATATTCTTTTTTGTTTTTATATTATTATTTGCCTTGTTAATATCATTTTCATCTGGTTTGTTTTAAGTTTTAATTTTTCCTTTGTAAGTTTGTGTGTGTGTGTGTGGGGGGGGTTCTTTCTAATTTCAAAATAGTGTGCTGTATTTTGTGAATGATTTGCTATCTTCATTAGCATATTTATTGTCTGATCTGTTTCTTCTGCCCTCGTTTATTTATTCTTATCTTCATAGTAGAATGCTGTCTTTCAATTTATTAAGTTCTGTTTCACTTTGAGTATTGCTTAAGCAGAATGTTATCTCCATAATAATTTCTTTTCTAATATTTTTAGGTTGCTATCTAATATTGTGTAGAGTTTCTGTCCATAGAACTCCTTTAAACATTTTTTAAAGGCAGTATGTTTTTATAAATTCCATTTTTTCCCTTTATCTGTAAATGTTTTTATTTCTCCCTCATATTTGAGGGATAATTTTGCTGGATATAGGACTCTTAGTTGGCATTTTTTTTCTTTCAGAATTTTGAATATATTTTGAATATATTGCCTTCTTTCTTGAATGGCTTCATTGGGAAAATCTGAATTTATCCTTATTGCTTGGCCTTTATATGTAAATCCTCTTTCTTGCTGTGCTCTCAGAATTGTTTCCATATCTTTTACATTAAGAAGTTTGATGATTATATGTTGAGATGCTTTCCTTTTAGGGTAAATTTTGTCTGAAGTTCTATGGAATTCCTCTATAGCTATTTTATGTTCTACCCCGATGTTAGGGAAGCGCTCCCTTAATATTTCATCAACTATTTTCTCAGTAGTTATTATTTCTTTACTCTGTTCTGGGGCATTTATTTATTAGGCATATGCTGTTCCTTTTGATGGTGTCCCATAGAATACTTAGATTATCTTCAAAGTCTTGGTCATTATTTATAACTTGGTCTTGTATTTTGACCTCAAGAGATTCATCTTCAAGATCATGATTCTTGGTTTCAATGTTTCCAACTTGCCGTTTTGTTCTTTCACAATGCTGTCCTGTTCTAATATTTTGCACTTTTGTTTGCCGTTGTATTAGTTCTAACTTTTCGTTCATTTTGTCAGTATGTTCCTTCAAGGCACTCCTGAGTACTTGAATTATGGCTCATGTTTTCTTCTGCATCTCTATCTAATATTTTCTCCAGTCAATTAAAGTAACTGGAAACCAACACTGTAATCTCTCACTTGGGAGGATCAGTAGTCCTCTCCTCCTACAGGTAGACATCTATGTGTGGTGTTGCTAATTGTGCTGTTTTCTCAAGTCTGTGGAGATCAATGGTTGCTTCTGAGATACAGTGTTATTATTAATTACTTTGTTTTTTATGTTTTACACTGAATACCGCCTTATTGACCTGGGTAGTCAAGGGTAGAAAGGCAAGTCTGCTCCAGCCAAGTCTCAACAGGGGCCAAAGTCCAGAAGTAATATACCATGAGCTCTGTCATAGTTCTGGTTTTCAGGCTGGTTCTCAAGTCTACAGGGGTACCTGGTAATTATTGAACAAACCAGAGTGTTTGGTGAAAGAAGAGACTAATTAGAATAATGTTCACCAAAACAATCTCCTGGGGGGCCTATGTGTTGGAGTTGAGTCCAATTATTACATGGGCATGGGCTTGTGGATAGACATGAATTGTCACCCATCATCCTCCTTAATAGGTGCCTTTTTTATTTTGCACCCATTCAGAGATGGTCAGTCCTCGTGATGCTCTGCAGTAACTCTGTCACAATCACACCCTAAGAGGTTCAGCCAGATGCAGGGAATCAGTTCACTGAAGACCCAAGTCTTCAATCCAGCCAATATGTAATGAGAGACTTGGGGCAGTCCCAGTACCAGGACTCAGAGGTCCATGTATCCTCCTGGCCAAGATTCCTCTCCCCAATTATGCTGGGGGAACGGAATTATCAGTGGCTGGAGAGGGGCTGGTACCTCATAGGCTTCCTGCCAGGATAGAACTGAATCCAGGCCTTTCTTTTCCCTTTTTTTCAGGGTTCTTTTTGTGAGCGTTTCCCTGCGGCACTTTCAGCAATTGTTCCTTTTCTCAGAGGAAGGTCTGGAACTCTGGCTGCTACAATCTTTCTGAAATTCCAAAGTTTTTTTGAGAGAGGGATTAATAGTCACTCTGACTATGCAGCCATGCTGTTCCTCCCTACTTGTGTTTATTAACTACACAAAGGCATTAGACTATGTGGATCATAAGAATTATGGATAAAATTGAGAAGAATGGGAATTACAGTACACTTCATGGTACTCATGTGGAACTTGTACACAGAACAAGAAGTTGTTAAAACAAAACAGGAGAATACTGATGATTTAATATTAGGAAAGGAGTGTGTCAGGGTTGTATCCCATCCCCATTATTTATTAAATCTTTATGTTGAGCAAATAATCAGAGAAGCTGGATTATATAAAGAAGAGCTAGGCATTGATTGGAAAGAAGCTTATTCACAACTGCTGTATTCAGACAACCCACCTATCCTTGTTGAAAGTGAGGAAGTACTTGAAGCATTTCCTGATGAAATCAGTCTGCAGCCTTCAATGTGGATAATTCAATGTAAAGAAAATAAAAATTGTCACAACTAGATCAATAGACAACATCATGGTAAATGGAGAAAAGATTGAAGGTGTTATGGATTTCATCTTGTTTGAATTCCACAGTACATGCTCATGAAAGCAGACATCAAAAAATCAAAAAACATATTGTACTGGGCAAATTTGCCCAGTGTTGAAGAGCAAGGCTGTCACTTTGAAGACTAAGGTGTGCCTGACCTAACTCATTATACTGTCAATTGCCTGATATGTATGAAAGCTCGACTTTGAGTAAGGAAGACCACAGAAAAATTGATACATTTAAACAATGATTTGGGCAAAGAATATTGAAAATACCAATATTCTGCCAGAAGAACAAAAAAAAAATCTGTCTTGTAAGAAGTACTTTCAGAATACTCCTTAGAAGAGAGAATGTTGAGACTTTGTCTCACATATTTTGGATATGTTGAGGATAAATCCGTTTCTGGAAAGGGACAGTATACTTGATAAAGTAGAAGGGAAGTAATAAGGAGGAAGACTGTGTAGAAGAAGGATAGGCACTGTAACTACAAAAATGGGATCAAATATAAGAAAAATTGTGAGGATGGTGCAGGAACAGGCAGTGGTTTGTTCTAATGGACGCAGGCTAGCTATGCGTTGGAACCGACTTGTTGGCACCCACCAACAACTCACACGTATTCATGACACATTTCTAATGGAATAGCACCTAAAAAGTTTAACAACAGAAAGAAATCTGACCAACCTACTTACTCTCTTGTTGGTGACTTAGTAGGTTCCTTTTCTGAATCAGGAGAACTCAGGTCTTGCAAAATACAATTATTTTGCTCAGTGAAGACAGTGTTTCTGTCTTGTTCAGAATGGATTGATATTAACGATTTCATTCCATCTTCCTTCTTCATATTGCCACATGGATTTGGCTGTGGTTCTGGACTCTTTAAAATCAGATCATCTTCACTAACAGACACTGTAAGGTCACTGCTGCTGCTCAAGCTTCCCGCTTCCTGCTCCTCCTGGGTTTTTCTGTAGGGGCTCTGTGCTTTTGGGAATCCATAAGAAAGATGATCTGTAAGAATGGATTGAACACATTACTTATCTGAGACCATAGGAGAAGTGATGCAAGGATTTGCACTTCACAGAGTGGAATTATACAACCTGAAAAACATATAATCCCCACTAATTGTATTATTTAAAAACACTTGAAAATATTTCTATGTATGTATCTCAGAACTCATTAGAATGCCGATTCAGACTTACTGTACCTATTGAGGTAGAAAGAATCCACTGAGTCTAATACCCTAAACTTCTCTTTAAACCTTAGATCAAAACTATGGTATCTCTTGAAGTCACTTTTAAACTACTGTATATACTCATGTATAACCCGAGTTTTTCAGCACATTTTTAATGCAGTTTTTGTGGTAAAATGAGGTGCCTAAGCTGATATTTGGGCCAGTTTATACTTGAGTATATACAGTAAGTAACAATTTAACTCAAAAAGTAAAGATTGCCATCTTTAAGTATTTCATTCTTTTAAAATATTAATGTAAGACTAAATGGGTGGGTGGTGAGGAAGGGGAAACTGATCACAATGACCTACCTATAACCCTCTCCCAGGGGAATGGACAAAAGATAAGGGGGTAACAGGAGACATCAGACAGTGAAAGATATGGAAAAATAATAATAATGTATAAATTATCAAGGGTTCATGAGGGAGGGAGGGGAAAAAATGAGGAGCTGATACCAAGGGCTCAAGTAGAAAAAAAATGTTTTGAAAATGATGATAACAACAAATGTACAAATGTGCTTGACACAATGGATGTATGTATGGATTATGATAAGAGTTGTACGAGCCCCCAATAAAATGATTTTTTTAAAAAGACTAAACAGGTAACAGCTATTCTTTTTTTTTTTTGTAGGGGAGAGCGTGAACACAGTCCCCCACTACCACAAATTATGCAGCCGAGTTTCCCACATTTGGGGAAATCCCAGGGGTCAGCACATCCTGGAATGCAATGGGTAAGCCTTGCCCAATAACAGCTATTCTAAAACATTAATAATAGTCAATGGAAATAAAATAAAAATACAAATATTCAAATACTCTTAAAGAGCATCTTGACACAATGTGAAAAATGTAACCAATGTAACTAATTAATCATTATATGTCCAAGAACTATTGAATGGGAGGTTTTTGCTGCATTTCACCCCTCAAAAAATAAACAGAAAATGGCAATTAAAGGGCAAAATTACTTATCACTTACCCATTTTGTTTTTGGACACAGAAATAAGAGTGTATTTTGTCCTTACACAGGACTGCTACCACCCAGAAATATGAAATATTAGCAAACACCAACAAACCAACAGCCTCTCTTCCCACCTAAGAAATCTTCCCAAGCAGAATGGTTCTCTTGAGAACACTTACTTTCAGATGCACAGTATTCTGAAACTGTTATCCGAGAGACTGGCCATCCTGCTCTTTCTTCCTTGACTTCAATATGTTCCTGTGTCAGTATTTCTTCCTTTGATCCCTCTGATCTGCTGGAACTGTCACACTTTAAATCAGTGGTTCTGTTCTCTGGACTTAATCTTTCCAGTAATGGGGAATGAAGTTCAGCAGACTTTTTGCTTTCAGATAAAGGACTCTTGCTGTGACGTGTGTTGCTTCCTATCTCCAAGCAATGAGCTTTATCCCCCTCAGACAATACACTGACTGTGACTGGCGTTTCCTCACCAATCTGAAGAGATGTCTTTCCATTTATTTTGTCAGGCTTATTTAAGCACTGTGTGTCACTGTTAGTTTGTACTACACAGCTGTCTGTCACACTGCTGCTCAGGACTGTCTGTCGGCATGAATGTGGGACAGGAATTGAAAAGTTCTTTGTAGGTTGGGGAGGTTTCTGCTCTGTACTGAAATCTCCAATGTTTGAGACAGCTGACATTTGGCGGCCCATAAAGATTGTTGCTGGCTGATACAATCCTCTTGACATGGCTGTCCCCAAGTTAATTCTTGCCTGGATTATAACCTGCAGCATCAAAAGAGATTTGAGTTAAATCTATTGTGTAAGAACAATCAGTAGTTTTCAGAAATTAAATTAGGTAAAAGAAATCTGATTACTGAAATCAGTACCACATTCACACTACGTATGGTATTCTATATAATAAACAAATAAGAAACAGTATTGTCCACATATTTTAACAATAATGTTGCTTCACAAAGCAAACAGTGACAAGGAATAGGGGATGCACATTTTAAAAAAAGATATATATATATATAGGAATTCCAAAGTCTCTTCTGGTATTATATGTAATATTTCACAAATTGCAATAATCACCTTCAGAAGTACATTAAAATATATAATGTATCATGTACAGAATAATATTTCAAGTCAAACTAGGAATAATACCAGTATTTTCTAAACATTTTCAGGTAATTTTAAAGACAATAAAATCACTTTAATATACCACTCCACACTCCACACCCCCACCCCTGCCAAATGAAAATAACATTGCCAGAAAGCCAAAAAAGCCAAACTCACTACCAATGAGTGGATTCTGACTCATAGTGACATGACAGGACAGAGTAGAATTGTCCCTGTGGGTTTCCAAGATTAATTATTTTGTGTGTGTGTGTGTGGTTGTGGGTTTTTAAAAACAGTTTTATTGGCATATAGTTCATAAATTTTATATATATATATATAGTTCATATAAATTATATGATTCCATAGTTCAATCATATCAAGGAGAATTGTACAATCATCACCACAATCGGTGTTTGAACATTTTCCTTATTCTTGTACTCATCATTAGTAGCTCCCCATTTCCCCCAAACCTTCCCTGCCACAACCTCAAGGAACCATTAATCCAGTTCCTGTCGCCATAAATGGATTTCATATACAGAACACATTAAAAATCAAACAAATTAAAGCCCTACCAACAATATTAAAGTAAAACATAAAAACATCAACTGAAAAGAAAGGATAAAATATGAAAAAGTAGAACATATTTAAGTGGATAAAAAAGAGATCAGATGATAGGGTTTTAGATTTTAACCTAATTGCATCTGCAATAATTTACTTTTCAATGCATTTTGAATGATAGCAAGGCTATTCTCATCCATGGTCCATGGTAAGAGAGGATTCATCAGGGCTTAATTCACATGTATTTTCCTTTTTTTTTTTTTTTTGTAGTTGTTGTTGTTAACTGAAACAACTTTAAAATGAGTCAAAAGGGAGATCACATGATAAAATATTATAATTTGAACTAACTATGAGTTCGACAGTACGTCTTTAAGGGAATAGAAAGCCATATTTGTTTCCTGCTGTTGAGCGCCGGGTGGTTTTGAACTGCTGACCATGAGATTAGCAGCCCAATGTATAATCCATTATGCAGCCAGAGCCATAGAAAGAAACAGAAGCAACTTGCTCAGTGGTTTGATCAAGAACACATAATGGAAAGCAATAATAGAATCAACAAAGTGTTTACAAAGTTTAAGTAATTTCCTTTATTAGCTAGACTGAACTAGGCAAAGAGGATAAAGATGACAATGAAAGGAATGCTAAAACAAAAGGGAGGTGAAGGCAAACTTCCCCAATTCCTCCTCGCCAAAAAGGAAGGTAAAAAAAAGTACACCTTTCCTAATCAATGGAAGAGAGAGAGATAATGAATGGGTATCTAGTCAAGTAAAGACAGGATGTTCTTACAGCACCAACAATGGCTAAATTGAATCTTTGTTTCAGGGTGTGGGGACAAGCAGACAGAGGTGCAGAGGAAGGGTAAGTATACTGCAAAAAGCCAGCCAATAGCAAAAGATCCCCCAGAAAGACAACCAATGGTAGAAAGTCTTCCATTAACAGAATAAAAACCTCTTCATCCTACTATTCCCTAAGAGTACCTGGGGAGTCCTATGGTATTACATGCTGTTAGCCCAGGGTGTCTGGAAAAACAAATCCAGTGACACTCATGTATGTATAAGAAAGAGTTTTATATCCGGAAATAATTATATATCAAGAAGGCATCCCAGCCCACTCCAACTCAAATCTATAATTCTGATAAGTCTATAAGTTTATAAGTCCCTCTACCTACTAACATAGCTGCAAGCCAGTGATGCAGAAAAGATGTTTTCTCAATATACGATTACTCTTTGATAAAAAGTTCTCTCTTACACATGAGTGTCTATGAATTTGTTTCTCTAGTCAACCTGGCCTAACAGCCCCCACCACCACCACCACCACCAAATAACAGTAAAACACAGAAAGACATCAGCCCTAAAGAACATGGAAAATAATATAAACGATAACAAATTAAAAATGGATCAACAGGGAAAAAATAGCAAGATGTTAAAATTTAACCTAACTATATCTGCATTAATTCCTTTTCTGATGCATACTGTCTGAGGGCAAGGCTATTCACATCCCTGGACAATAGTCTTTGGAAATTCAATGGAGACTTAACCTTGCAGGGACTCTGTAAATGGATTTGGGTTTTCACTGTCATCCAATGCCTTCTACAAAGCCGGTGCTCATAATTTAAGCTGTAGTTCTTATATACATTCATGGGGAATATAGGCACAGTGTACTTTGGTAACTTTGGCTTACCTTTAGATGATTATAGGATAAAGATGCCAGTAATTATTGGTATACTCATATCAAACCATTGCATATTATAAAACAAGAGTTAAGAGGAAATCCTTTAATCCAAATAAGTAAATTAGGACTGGTCATTTATGAGAGCTTTAAAACTCCTAGTTATGGCATAGTTAAATTGGAGAAACCTTTGAGAAATTAATCACTATGGGGCAAAAAAGCAGATGAATTTGATGATAGGATAGACGTACAACAGTGATCCCTAACTTCTTTTGTCAAAGAGTCACTGGCAATAGACTGGCTTTGGATTTTTTCACTAGCCCAGCATGGTAGAGTTTGTGCTATAGTTAATACTTTTTGCAGCAGCACATAAACCACAAAGGGAAGTAGAACAAGATATATGTAGAGTTAAGACAATAAGCCACGTGGCTACACACGGTTAACACTCTTGTAGACATCAGTTACATTTGCATAGCTACTATCAGGAATAGGCACATGGGCTAGATCAGTTTTAAAAGGGTATTAGTATTTTACATTTGCATTATGCTCATAGTAGACATGCTGTAATTAAACTTACCTTTCAGTGTCTTGCATATGGTAGAGGAAAGAGAATGGCTTAGACCAAGGTGAAGCACCTTGGCTCTGATCTACACTACAATATGCTTGATGGAGACCTCGCTCACATGTAAATCCTGGTGAAGAACCAGATAGAGTCTGGTGGAAAACCAGCACCTTGAGTTTAAAGGGCCTGCCATGGCTGCTATCTAGGACCCCAGCAAAGCTCAGGTTGATCATTGATGTCCTATCCTTAATTTCTGATCAAGAAGAAGAACTGGCTCAGTGCCTAAAACCAAAAGCATTGATGCTAGAGTCCTGATTACATCCTAAACCTTGAAACAGTCATAATGCCATCTTGAGTACTTTGCATTCACTTTCTGACCACCTACCAAAGTGACATCACAAGGAAACAGGGGCAGTAGCCCTAAGTAATCTCTCTGCTAATCTGGAAAGGCAGTGTGGAGCAAATTGAACACAGGAAAGACAGAGTAAGCAGGAACTTATACAAAGAACAAGGAACTCCCTTGTAGACTTAAGGGACTCCCTTAAGACTAAGACATGTAAATAAAAGAGAGCTAGCTTTATACTCCCCGATTCTGGCCTGAAGGATAACAGAAAACCCATTCTGATTGTCTTTATTTAAAAGCTTTTTAATAAAGATTGTTTCAGAAGTTAGTTTAGCTTAGCTATTGAAAGAACCAAATCACAACTAATTCTATATATAACTGCTAATCCTGTATTGCTTCTTGGACTTGGTCAGATATAACATCCATAGTGCTGTTATCAGAATTCAGGTTCTTGTCTTACCAAGGGAAATATTTACTTTTGGAAGACATAGGGCAAACAAAGCAATTTAATTAATTAATTCATAGGAGGAAGAAATACTTCCCAGCCAGTATGGGTTATCTGAGTATTTCTTAACTCCCCCATGCATATGCAGTGTATAAGATTCTTTGGAACTTCTTTCTGGGGGGAACTTTTGCTAAGGGTAGTAAGAAGTTCTAGGCAATGTACTTCGAAGACATTGTCCCACACTCCACACAAGCTCTGTCCAAATCTTCACTTTCACTCCCTTGTCCTGTCTCATCCCCCACTGAGAGATCTCATACACATAATTCTTTGTGGGATCCGAGGCAGAGGTCCCTCCTTGTGTAGCTGCTTTCTGCTTATATAAGGTACAGAGAATCACCACCCTGCCTCTATGAGTAGAAATCACTCCTCTTCTATATTAAGGGGAGTGAGTGGAGATGCTGGATTTGAGTTTGTGAGTATTGAGGTTATGAGTGAAACATAGGTCTAAGCTTGTTCATGGATTCCCCTCTAAGTTTCCTCAGGATTGATTGGGTCTATTGTTTCAGAAAATTCCAACAGGAAAACACAAAGGTTGTGTTAGGTAGCTAGTTTAGGGACGGGGTTGTCACTCCCAGGCCTGCACAAGCCCACCAGATTGGACAGAAATCAGGCAACCATTAGACACCCATAAAGACCCCAAACTGAGCATGCTTGTACTCAAGCCCCTGAGTCAGGTAAAAGATACACCTGGGTGGGCCAAACTAGGCCCAGGCTCATGATATCACCCAGGTGGGCCTAACTCAGCCAATGGGTTAACCAATACCATCAACCACACCTTCCCCCAGCCAGAGGGTGGGCTAGAATAAAGGCAGGGAGCATGCTCTGGCATGCTCTCTCACCCTGCTCCTGGTCAGAGGCACATGAGCCAGTTCCAGGCCTACTTGGGAGCCCACAGCTTCTTGGTCCACATGTTCTCAGCCTCTAGGGTTCTTGGGCTTCTGGCCTCCTGGATACCAGGGCCCCCACCCCTCCCCGCCGCCCCCTCCTTCACCCCCCAGATCCACATGCAAGGGTGCGTTTTTCCACGTGGC